GGAAGTAATTGAATCATGGGGGCAGGTATTTCCCATGCTGTTCTCATGATAGTGAATAAGTCTCATGGGATCTGATAGTTTTATAAAGGAAAGTTCCCTTGCACAAGCTCTTCGCTTGCCTGCCACCATGTAAGACATCCCTTGCTCTTCTACCATGATTGTGAGGCCTCCTCAGCCATGTGAAACTGTGAGTCCATCAAACCTTTTTTCCTTTATAAATTACCCAGTCTCGGATATGTCTTTAATCAGCAGGTGAAAATGGACTAATACACTGGGAGAGGGATTACTACCTGGAACTGGCAGTGAAGTTAGCATCTCCTGATGCAGAAAGATATTTTGGGGGACATATGGATTCCTGAACAAAACGAGGGTTCTGTTGGAAGGAAGAAGGGCGTAGGCACTGCTGGGGAGGCATGTCCAGTGTCCCTTACCTTGTATCTCTCCAACGTGATCTCACCCCAGCTTCCCCAGACTCTCTCTACTGCAGCGGCAGGAGCCTTCACATCCCTGTCTGCACCTGCTTCCTTCTATCACAGTCCTTGCACATGCTCATCCTGCCCCAGGAATGCCTTCCTCTAGGGAAATCCAACTCATCCGTCTGTCTGGGAGGAAATATAATCTCTCTTTAACCCTCATAAATTTGTAGTTGGGACAGACTCCTGTTAGCAACAGATTAACAAGGGAAAAACAAGCAAGTTTATTAACACGTGCAGTGCACATCACACACAGGAGAAACTTCAATAAAAGGTGTCGACCTAATGTAACTACAAGGCTCAAGATCCAGTTCAAGTGAGTTAAGTACAAAATGTGAGGGTGGCCATTCCAGGACACACGGACACTGAAGAATAGTGACCACTGTTCTTGGTGTAGGGAAAAGTGAAGATCATTTGTACAGACAAAACTGGAGGCACTGAACAGAATTATGACATTTTCCACCCAGAGGCTAACATACAGATATAAGATTGACTGGCTACACTCAATTACACTTTAAGGAGTTTGCTTAACATTCTGTAGAGAAGAGGTCACAGTCATAAGGGACTCTGTCTCCAAAGTCATTTAGTCTAGGTTTGAAAGAAGAACAAAGTCTGGCAAAATATAACTCTCAACACAAAAGTCAGAAAGTAACAGACATGCATCAGAGAAGAATAACAACCATGTTACATGACTCCATTTCCAAAGCTTAACTTTTCCCTTTGGCATAATCAATTTTGCAGGCCATGGAATTTTCTGTTCACAAAGGTCACTCCAAGCAGTGGCTTAGAACTCTGGCTTATACAACATCTTCAATAAAGAAGAGTAAATTTTAGAGAAATGACAAGACAAAGGAAAGCAGTTGTAGGTTTCCAGAGGTGGGAAACTATGGGAAGGCAAATACATGGAAGTAAAGTAATGGAGTAGGGTTTGTTTGCAGATGACGCCTGTGCCATATCTGGGGGGTAACAGCTGTTCCCAGTAAAGAAGAATTTACATCCTGTCTTCAGGTGGAAAAGCGGGGAGGCTAGAAAGAGCTTTTCCTCTGTTTGCTGCTTCTTAATTGCCTTTTGCTCAAAAATATTTGTGACAAAGCAGCATATTTTGGGACTAGATTTTCTAGTTTCTTTCACTTCCAATGTCAGCTGAATGCCTTCCCTTAGGGAAATTCAAATCCTCCTTCTGTCTGGGAGGAAAAGCTGCTAGAATAAAAGCAGGCAGAAGAACACGGAAGGACTAGACTTGCTGAGTCTCCTGGCCTTCATCTTTTTCCTGTGCTGTATGCTTCCTGCCCTTGAACACGGAACTCCAAGTCCTGCAGCTTCTGGACTCCTGGATGTACACCAGTGGTTTCCCAGGGGCTCTGGGGCCTTCGACCACTGACTGAAGCCTGCACTGTCAGCTTCCCTACTTTTGAGGCTGGGGGACTCAGATTGGCTTCCTTGCTCCTCAGTTTGCAGAAGGTCTACGGTGGACTTTATCTTGTGATCGTGTGAGTCAATCCCTTTCATATATGCAACTATTCTAATAGTTCTGTTTCTCTAGAGAACCCTAATGCATCATTCTTCACCCCTCCTGCGTTCACATTGTTTGCCCCATAAGTCCACTCTGTCACTGGCACATGGCTTGCTTCGGCCAACAGGATGTGAGCAAACGTGACACAGCAGATCTTTATAAAAGCACTTGCATGTTTCCGCTGAGGCCTTCCTCTCCTGAGTGATCATGAGCACATGCCTGCGCTAGCCTCCCGGAGTATAACTCACCTGGGACAGCCAAATTGTTCTTGTTATCCCAGCTGTGGCCATCCTAGCAGAGCCAATAGCCAACCAGTCCCAAGCTTGTGAGTGAGCACGTCAAAATGAGGAAGACTGCCCAGCCAACAGCAGCTGACTGCAGAGGCATGAAACAGCCTAGCCCAGCCGAGATCGGCCAAGCTGAGCCCAGGTCAGCTAAGACCCTGCACACTTGTAAACTACACAGTGTATTCTTGAACACCAATGAAATCATTGAGATTGCTCATAACAAGGGATTAGCGTGTCAATAGATATCTGATAACAAATACAGTTTAAACATCCAGCAGTTGAGGAATGGTGCAATACCTTGCAGCAATTAAGGTCGCTGATCTAAAGACTTTACTTCCAGGGGTCATTCCTATCGTCCATTACTAAAGAAATTTCTCTGAACATGTAGAGCACAGGACACCACAAGGAGGAGGCACAACATTCTCCCTGGAGCCTGAAGCCGGCTTTGAGAGGTTGAGGCAGGCAGATCACAAGGTCAGGAGATCAAGACCATCCTGGCCAACATGGTGAAACCCCATCTCTACTAAAATACAAAAAATTAGCCTGGCATGGTGGTGCACACCTGTAGTCCCACCTACTTGGGAGGCTGAGGCAAGGGAATCGCTTGAACCCAGGAGTTGGAGGTTGCAGTGAGCCAAGACCGGGCCACTGCACTCCAGCCTGGCTACAGAGTGAGACTCCATCTCAAAAAAAAAGAAAGAAACAAACAAAAAAAGAATTCTGATGCAGATGAATATTGACTGGACTTGAAATGTTCACAATAGACTGACAAATTGTAGGAGGAATGGGAAGCAGGTTGCAGAACAATGTATGTAATATGATACCATTTTCATAAAACACATATTTATACATTTGCATATGAACGAGTTGGGTCTGATACACAAGATGCTGAAAGAGGTTATTTCCAGATGGAAGGATCTGGGGTGATTTTCATTTGCTGTTTATCTGTGTTTTAGAGTTACTCCATAGGAACATGTATCACTTGTACAATTTTCAAAGGGGAGAAAAAAATCTTTTCTGTAGAGTACAGCATTTAAAAAATTTAAAATCCTTTGACTAATCCATAACAACCCTGAGCATATATGTAGCACTTTTCGTTGATGAAGTCATCATCAGCTCTTGCAGCACCCTGTGCAGGAGACTTGGTAACATCGGCTCATCCAAGAGTCACTAAGGATTGCAAGTAGCAGAACCCACCTGTCTGATCCCACTGGTAACCCTGAGCTCTGTGGATAGCAGTGACTTCATCTTTCCAGCCCACACAGAGCCAGGGAAGCATTAAAGCTCCTCTACTCCCGAGAAGTGTGACCCATGGAAGTTCAGAAAGCAGTGCAGAATCTTTATGTCAATTTTTAGGTGAGAGTCCCCGGCTTTCTTTTAATTTCCAAAGGGCTCTATTGATCTAGGACAGTGCTTCATCAGTTACCCTCTCTTTCTTGCATTTTTAGGCTCCCTGCCTTTCAACTGGTATCCCCTTCTCCATCTGCACATAACCTGGGTGTACCAGGGCCACGGACAACTATGAAATATAATTACCAGGTATATTCATCTGCTCTGGCTGGCATACCAAAATACCACAGGTGGGGGCTTGAATGGCAGAAATGTATTTTCTCACAGTTCTGGAGGCTGGAAGTTTGAAGTCAGGGTGCCAACGTGGTTGGCTTTTGGTGAGGGATCTCTTCCTGGCTTGCAGATAGCTGCCTTCTCACATTCTCACAATTTCCTCACATGCTCACATGACCTTTCCTTGTTGTGTGCATTCCAGGGACTTCTCTCTTCCTCTTATAAGGACACCAGTCCTATCAGACTATGGCTGGCCCCACATCTGACCTTTCTTTTTTCTTTTGAAAAAAAGGGTCTTGCTCTGTCACTCAGGCTACATTGCAGTGGCATGCTCATGGCTCACTGCAGCCTCAACCTCCCAGGCTCAAGCAATCCTCCCACCTCAGCCTGGCGACTAGCTGGGACCAGAGGTGTGCACCACTATGCCTGGCTAATTTTTTGTATTTTTTGTAGAAACAGGGTTGCTCCATGTTGCCCAGGCTGGTCTCCAACTCCTGGGCTCAAGTGATCCTCCTGCCTCAGCCTCTCAAAGTGCTGGGATTACAGGCATGAGCTGTCGTGCTCACCCGTTTAACCTTAATTACTTCCTAAAGACTGTCTCCAAGTGCAGTCACATGGGGCAGAGGGGAGGTAGTGTTAAGACTTCAACATATGAAACTTGGGACGACACAATTCAGTCCATGGCCCCAGAAACAAAGATAACTTGCTTTAAGTTAGCAAAGTTGCTATCTTTGTTACACTGACAATAGTCTCCTAACTTATCATTTTTCTCTGGCTGCTTTTAAGATCTTGTCTTTATCACTGGTTTTAAGCAATTTGATTATTAGATGCCTTAGTGGAGTTTTCTTCACATTTCTTGAGCTTGGAGTTTATTGAGCTTCTTGGATCTGCAGATTATAATTTTCATAAAGTCTGGAAATTTTTGGCATCATTTTTTCAAATATGCATATTTTTTGCTTCCCCTTCACAGACTCGAATTCTATATATAAAATTCCAGGTGGCACATTCCACTTCCTGGGTTCAGTGGGATAGTTCTACCTCCCTGGAGACCCTACCAACCAACACATCTTCAGCCCCTCCCTCCTGTGGTGGGCACAGCAGCTCAAAGAAGACAGAAATCTAAGTGTGTCGCAGAGATAACTAATGCTCTTTAATTTTTACAATTCATTCTCATCTGAGTCTTTTACTTAGGCCAGTTTCTATTGCTATCCCTCCAAGTTCATTAAGATTTTCTTCTGATTGTAAAGACTGGGGGACCTCTTTCTAAATGTCCAGTGACCTTTGTCTTAATATTTGGTGCAGTATATCTGCAGATCTAACAAAATGAATATCTAACAAAAGGAAGTTGAAAACTAAATGACTATTACCTTTCTCTTTGAAATACTGTAGGAATGACAGTTAGATACACTTTCTGACTTCTGCAAGACTGTGACCATTACACAGGCTGTGATTTTTCTCAGGGCAAGATGCAAGGTGAGCTGGCTCACTCAGAAAATGCACACCAGGGACTTCACAGTTTCTGCTCTCCATGATGATATGGACTAGAAGGAAAGAGATGTTTGCATGAGGGATTTCTGATCAGGGTCAAGCTGTGTTCTGGTCACTACTGATTTGTCGGCTCGTGTGATTGATGAGCAATGAGTAACTTTTGTTACAAACTATGCTGTACCTACTAATTGTGAAAACTATACTCACAGGAGTCAACAGTGACAGTTGATGGCAAGGTGGCACTCAGAAATGGCATCGATGTAATTTAGAACATGAAATCATAAGTGAGACAGCACACAATTAGATTAAAGACTGAGTTGAACTGGCATAGGGGCTGGGCTTGGGAGGAAAGGTGTGGATATAAACTGTTGCTGAAGAAGACAAGAAGGTTGTTCATGACACTGAGACTTCCTAGGATACTACAGTGGAGGAGATGCTCATGCATGTGGCTGACCTTATTTAATTCCTAAGTAAGATAGTTTCGGGTGCAGTGCTGGGTGTTGCTGAATGAGTGACCACGATGTGCATTGTGCTTCGCCCTTTGGCAATATTTGAATCTTGTCTTAATGCTCAAAATGGATGAGACACAGAATTTGATAGCAAAGTGACATTAGTCATGAGCTCTTGTGAAGAAAGTCGTTGGTTTTTTATCTTCTTTAGACTGTGAGAGTAGACATAAAAGATGGGTTCTGTAACATCTTTCCTTCTTAGAAATTTATTTCCTAGTCCTATGGAAATGGTTGCATTAGGTGTTCTCTATCATTTAATAATATACTTGTGGACTAAAAGATAAAACTGCTACATAAAATAAGCCAATTATCTTAAACAAGCATATCTGCCTTTACTGTGTTTGTTATTAGCCTGAATAGAAAGGCCTTTAAAATTGATTTTTTAGAAAGCATTTGAATGCATTATTGCTATTGTATTTATTCAATAAAGTATTTAATTAGTGAAAACATATTGTGCTCTGCAATATCTAACCTTCTGCTAATCTTACATGGTATATTTTTCATCCCAGATTTCACGGTTTTGATATCTAGGTTTTCAATTTGTGCCTTTTTTGTTATCTTCCCTGGCTCTTCTGAACTTTTAAAACATTTAATACAATTACAATGACTGTTTTAATGTTCTTCTCTGTTAATTCTAATATCTGTGTCAGTTCTGGGTCAGCTTTTACAGACTGATTATCCTCTTCATTGTGTCTTCCTGCCTTGTTGTGTCTTTGATTGGAGTATAAAAAATGTGAATTTCACCTTGTTGGGCACTGGATTTTTTAAAATTTATTTCTACAAGTTTTCTTGAGCTTTTCAGGTCTGCCTTTGTGCTTTGAGAGGCATTTTCTGGAGCAGTGCTCAGTCTAGGGTTACTTATTCCCCGCTACTGAGGCAAGGCCTTACTAAGTACCCAGGGCACCACGACTGATGAGTTTTTGCAGTCTGACCGGTGGGGACAGGTACCATGCCGGGCACCCACTGTCCCTTCTAATCCTTTCAGATGGCTCGTTCCTCAGCCTCACATGCATGCACCGTTCACCACTTGCTGTTGGCCAAGGGGATCCTCTGTGGAGCTTTGGGATTCTCTCTCCGTGCAGCCATCTTCTCTTCGGTACTCTCTTAAGAACCATGGCTGACAGTCTCCTGGACACTCACCGCTGTCTTTTCAACTTAAGGAGGCTGCCAGGATCCATCTGAGTTGTCCCTTTCTGCACGGTGGCCTGGTAACTCTACCAAGGTAATTCTGGGGTGATCCTAGGACTCAACTAGTTTCTTTCCAATGTCGTTCATTGCCTGGTGTCCAGTGTCTTGAAAACTGTTGTTTCATATATTTTGTTTGTTTGTTTGTTTCAAATGGGAGGATAAATCTAGTCCCTCCTTCATTCCATTCTATTCAGGCTAATGACAAAAGCAGTAAAGGCAGATATGCTTGACCAGAAGCAGAAGTTGGCAGCTATTATTATTTTATCATTCATTCAAGATATTTGGGGACACCTATTATGAGCCAGGTACTATACTAGGTTGAGTATACAGTGGTGAGCCAAAAGAATATGGTCCTGACCTCACAGCACATCTGTCTTATGGTGATCAACTTCTGCTAGAAGGCAGTAAATATGCTAGGCCCTGGATTTATTATCATTCCTCTGTAGGAATTCAGAATTAGGAGGAAAGAAAAATTAATACAAAGCTAACTGTGAAAAGTGTGTGAGATACAAAGGCTCTGGGCATATTGATGAAGAAGTAATTAATTCTGATTTAAGGTATAAGGGAAAACTTCGTGGAGAAGGTGACCTTTGAGTTAGGACGTGAAAAGTTCATGTAATTTTGAATGGTGGAGAAGCAGAAGGGAGGTAGAGATGTTCAAAGTGCTTTTAAACATGTGGCAGACACAGCTATCTGGCTTGTTCTCCCTCGCCCATAGAACCCTAATAATGTGCTTAAGAGGATGCTGTATACAGTACTTTCCAGCCCCTAGGAGTGAGTCTTGATTGGTTGAAATAAACCATGGAATTTCCATTCCCTTGCCTGTCATTGGATCCAGCATAGGCACATAGCACAATTCTGGCCAATGAGATATGAGGGAAAGTCTGCTGGGAAAGTTTATTTTCCAAATAAAGGGAGAAAACATTTCTTTCTGTTTCTGAAGAAGAAATAAAAAGAAAAAAAACGCTGATTCCTTGATGATGTCCTGAAACCACTGGAATTAACCAATCTGAAACTGATATAACTCGTGACTTCTTGTTACGAGATGCTAAAGTTTTCCTCTCGTTTCTTTAACTTCTTGTTGGATTCTTGTTGTCGTTGATGGTGTTACTTTCAGTCAGATGCAGGAGACCAGCATACCCGAAGCTGATCAGTTAACCCATTTGCAACTAGCTTTTCCTTTTCACTGATTCAATCCTCTGCTAAATGTTACTCCTCTTGTTCTGGTTCCCCGGCTTCATCAAGAAGGGAGGTTGTTAACCTAAGGCATAAGCCATGAGGATGCACTTCGTCACTCCCCGAGCCGGCACATGGGGGAGATGAAATGAAAGGAAGCAATTACACAGGGCAATACCTTGACTATTCTGTTCCATCACTCTTCCTGATCCTTTGGTTGGGAGGACTTGAACTCTCATGGTAGGGTGGAGGATGAAAACAAATACAAAGGAAAAGAGTGTAGGCAAGCCCAGGGGAAATTATGTAAATTATTGCGGATTCACAGCAGTGCTAGAATACTCTGGTAATTCCCACAGGAGCCAAGACTACCTCTGGAACAATCTAACTGTTGGAAACCACCAGTATCTGGCAGGAAGCCAGCTATAACAAGGGCAAAAGATATTCACTGATTATTTCACTGATATTCACTCCATTCCGGAGAGCCTGGACCGATGCCAGGGACCCAGGCCAGCCTGTGGCCAAAGTTGTGAATATGCAAAAACAGTCACCAGTCTCCACTCACTTTCCGGTTCCCTTCCTAGTCCCCTTCTTTTTCTAGCCCTGATCGTTTTCTCCCTGTTCCCCCTCCCACTCCTCCTTCTCCTCCCTTACTCAACAATTCATATCCTGCCGGCCTGATGAGCACAGAAGGTACTAAGCCGCCTACCTAAGAACACTTGCAGCTCAGCAGGGAGCTCTTACACGCCCAAGGTAATGCTTCTCTCTTGCTAGAAATTCAGGGCATCTAGACCGGCTGTGAGAAGCACGGCTGGTCTCAGGCACAGTACTTCTTGTCCCATGCAAAGTCAGCTGGTTGGGGAAGAGGGGAGACTCCAAGGTCTGGATTCCCAGGTCTCACTGCCAGCCAGTGGGGATGTACAGGGTCACAAAGACATTACCTCAAACGTGGAACTGTCCTCTGCTAGCTCATACAGGACCTTATCCTTCTCTCACATAACTATATCCTCCCTTCTAGCTTATCCTACTTACCTTCAGTCTCAATTTACATGTCTCTTCCCCCAGGAGGCCTTCCCTGATTGATTCTCAAGTCTGGATCGATTCAGTACCCCCAGAGCACTGAATGCCTTTCTCTCTGAGCACTTATGCTGATTTGTGATTCATGGATACTCAGCCAGAATCCAGCACAGACTGACATTTAGCAGATGCTCAGTTAATGGAACGAACGAACGAAGGAATGAACAAATGAACATCTGTTCGTATACACTCTAGCTCCGCAGACACCATGACTATCTTGTTTGCATTGTTCCTCAGCACCCAGTCCAGTGCTTAGGCTGTAGCGGGAAGACAGTAACGATGTATTAATTGATTGAAGGAGGGCTTCACAAGAAAAGGACTTGCATCCATGCTGCTACGACGTCTTTATTGCAAGGGCAAGAAGCACATCCCAGACCTTTTTGATAACATCAGGGATGGAGGTGGGAGGCAGAGCAAGATGAAGGAAATTTCTGGGAGTACAGCTATTCAGCTGTCGTGGTGGGTTTCTCTCTTCAACTATGATTTCAGTTTTCTTGGGATTTTATTTATTTATTTATTATTTTTTGAGATGGAGTTTTGCTCTTGTTTCCCAGGCTGAAGTGCATTGGCCTGATCTCAACTCACTGCAACCTTTGCCTCCCAGGTTCAAGCAATTCTCCTGCCTCAGCCTACGAGTAGCTGGGATTATAGGCACCTTTCACCTCACCTGGCTAATTTTTGTATCTTTAGTAGAGATGGGATTTCACCATGGTCTCGAACTCCTGACCTGAGTTGATCCAGCTGGCTTGATCTCCCAAAGTGCTGGGATTATAGCCTGAGGCACCACACCGGGCCTTCTAGGGATTCTTAACCTGGGGCTCATAGGCGGGGCTTCAAAAGATCCAAGAATCCTCCAACTCTTTAAACAAACACCCGTGTCAGCAGCTACATGTGCATTTTTCTGGAAGAAGATCATGGCTTGAAATCAGTTTCAACAAGGCTGAGACGCAAAAAGAATTACTGCTCGAGACCTGCAATGTCCAATACGGTAACCATTAGTCCAGTGTGGATATTTGTTTAGATTTAAATTAAAATTTCAATGCCTAACTTACACGAAGCTACACTTTAAGTGCTCAACAACCACTACCTACAGGGCAGACCAGATAGAGCACATCTCCGTCATTCCAGTAAGTTGAGATGGACAGATGTCTGTATTGATGGCATTACCAACTGAATACAGGTAAGACTGGATCCACCTAGTGCTTTTGCAAAATAAGTTACCAACATTTAGAAATAAACATAAAAATCAAAAATCCTGATTTCATTTGGGAAACCGGACTATCTACCAGCGTGGGGCCTGCGTTCCCCTGGCAGCTGGAACACACAGGACCTCTCCCCTTAGGGAACTCTCGGACATATGTTCCCCGCTTGACCTTCCTCGACGACTGAGCGTACGACCCGCGTTTCCAGGGGACTTTGCCCGTCTTGGTCTCCTTCCAGGCTCGCGTCTGTAACTAGACTCCAAATTTTGCTAACTGGGGTTGAACTGGGTTTGAGAGCACATCTTAGAGCAGGCTCTGGGGCTGAGATTCGGGGTCTCAGTTGGAAGTTGAGGAGGGGCAGCGCCTCCTTCTTTACAGTTTTCCGGAACTGTAGGAAGTCAGAGGGAATTTAATCCTGAACATCTGTTGCTTGACAAAGAACTTCTTCCCAGTCCTCCTCCGAGCCCTCCAGTCCCCAGCGCAGTTCGCCCGGGCCCGCCCCCGGCGACAAGATCGCTGGGAGGGGCCGAGGCGAAACCTGAGCCCCGCGCCCACCACCCTGGCTGACGACGTGGCTCCGCGGCCGGCCTCCCCCGGCAGCGCGGCGGCCAATGGGCGCGTGAGCCGGGCCGCCCGCAGCTTCCCAGCCCGAGGCCCCGGGCGCGCCCCTCGGCTCGGGCGCTGGGCGGGCAGTGGCGGAGGGACTGGCCTGTCCCCTCCTCCGCGCCGGCCCCAGCCCCGCCGCCGCCGCCGAGCTCCAAGCCCCCATTCCTGAGCTGCCGCTGCTATCGCTCGCTCGGCGCCTCCCTCCCGGCCGCCCTCTCCTTTGGACGATGGCGCGGGGTGGCCGTGGCCGCCGCCTGGGGCTCGCCCTGGGGCTGCTGCTGGCGCTGGCGCTGGCGCCGCAGGCGCTGCTGGCCAAGCCCACGGTGCGCAAGGAGCGCGTGGTGCGGCCCGACTCGGAGCTGGGCGAGCGGCCCCCCGAGGACAACCAGAGCTTCCAGTATGATCACGAGGCCTTCCTGGGCAAGGAGGACTCCAAGACTTTCGACCAGCTCACCCCGGAGGAGAGCAAGGAAAGGCTGGGGTGAGGCCGCGGCCGGGGCCATGCGGGGGGCGGTGCAGGTGATCAGGGGCCGCCCGGGCGGGAGCCACGCGGGATACCAGCGCCAAAGCGAAAGCGAAATCGCGCGCGCGGCCCCTATGGCGGGGGCCTGCCCGGCTCGGCGCCGGAGCTCAGGCTAAGTTGCTGGAGGGGGTTGGGACCCCAGCGTGGAGATCGCCGCCGCGCCCTGGCTGGGGTGGCTTCCCGCGGGGAGGCGAGAACGTGGCAGCGGCCGCGGGAGCCAGGATTGCGAGGGCCCGCCTCCTCCCCCGGGTTGCATCAGAAGGGAGGGGAGAGAGTGCACAAAAGAAGAGTTTGTCCACAGGGGCCTGTTAGTGACATGCCCACCCTCTCGCAGTTTCTCTTTTATCCCCCAACTCCCGAAGAGAAGGGCTTGAGACACTCGCCAAGAAGGTCTCGGGGATGAACATAAATGGATAAAAGATGAAGGGGCAGGCGAGCGACAGGCTTGCTTCCTGGTCTCGGCCGGGGTGGTCTTGCCTTTTGACTAATCACCCGGTAAATCTAGCTAAGTAGGCCGGGCGTGGTGGCTCACGCCTGTAATCCCAGCACTTTGAGAGGCCAAGGTTGGCGGATCACCTGAGCTCAGGAATTCGAGACCAGCCTGAACAACATGGCAAAACCCCGTCTCTACTAAAAATCCAAAATCACCCGGGTGTCGTGGCGCACGCCTGTAATCCCAGCTACTTGGGAGGCTGAGGCAGGAGAATTGCTTGAACCCGGGAAGCAGAGGTTGCAGTGAGCCGAGATTTCACACTCAACTCCAGCCTGGGCTACAGAATGAGACTCTGTCTCAAAAAAAAATGAAAATAAAATAAAATCTAGTGTAAAATCCGGTGGAGAAGGGACACTCAGTTGGAAATCAGAAACACAAGGGAGAGTGAATGGAAACGGGTTTCTGTTGGCAGCAGATTCTGCAGAAGCACTCAGTTCTTTGGCCACTGATTTGTTGGGGGCAAAAAGCTGTGCTCGCAGTGGTGGTGGATTTTGACTTGGGCTGTTAAAGTCAGTAGAAACAGGAACCAAATCCGGAAAACAAAACTTTGGTGCATTTCAGTACACCCTCCCCGGGTCCCCCCGAGGAGACACTTGGGCAGTGTGCAGAGTTATCCGGGGATCCTTGCACAGAGGACCCAGCAGGCAGCCTGGTCCCAGATGGAAGCAGGGCTGGGGAAGAGCCCAGCAGCCCTACCTACTGGGCACCAGGTCTCAGATCTCCCAGAACCTGATTCCTGGGGGTGGAGGATCTTCATGTTCTGCCACATGAAAGAGAACACAGCCATCCCTCTGTTCCTGGGGCCTCCAAAGGCCAAGGTGTTTCATTGGAATATGAGGATAAATTCTACCTATTGTGTAGGTGCACCATCTGCCTGCTCTGATAAAAAGACCTTTGAACTTCAAAGTCACCTCCAAACAATTACCTTTTATCTGGCAGAGTATTTTCTCTTCCCGTTTAGGACTTAACAATGGGGGCCATTGATGATTTCAGTCTATTGTATTGCTTTGAGGCATTTGGAGACTAATTTATCCTGGAGCCCTGAGTGGTAGCCACATTGCACTGAAGAGGAGACAGGGAGAGGTTTTGGGATTTGGAAAACTTTATAAGATGCAGTCCTACAGCTTCCAGGTAATGCCTTTATCATGACAGTTCAGTCTCGTAGTGAAAACAAGTGATGGTGGAGTTGGTCTGGGTTTGATCCTTGTATCAACACCTTGACTTCATTTCTTCATCCCACAAACATTTGAATGGCTACTGTGTACCAGGCCCCAGTTTAGATAACTGGCAGGTACAAAGATGAAACATTATGCTCTAGGCATCAAAGCGCTTGTAAGCAAATGTGGAGGAGAGAAGCACAGACAGACCAGACGTTATGCATGATTGCTGCAGTGATGGCCCATAAAACCCCTGGTGAGCACATCCAGGAGAAGGAGCCCCCAAGGCTGCAGGTTACAGAGAGGGGATTGGGGCTGTCCGCTGATAGAGAGTTTGTAGGATAACTTGGAGGTTACCAGGTGTACAGCAGGGGAAGGCATTCCTAAAGAGAGAACAGCCCATTTCTAAAGGTTTTGAAAAGTATTCTGGGGAATGAGGGGTGGTGAGTCTGCAAAGGGGAAGGGAAGAGAAGTGGGAGGTGGGAATGGAGGGGAAACCAAGGGCAGAGCAGGAAGGACCTTGGTGAGATGGAGATCAGTGGTTGTCCTGTACGTTGTCAAAACTTCATAACCCCCAAAACTCATTGGCAAAATCAGGATGGCAGGAGGACAGCACACAGAGAACATAATCGAGGCACAGACTAGACCAGTGGCAGGGGAGAGGAGGTGAATGCCAAAGGGGCTTGGCCTCTCTGGATTCCAGCGGGGGATGAATCTAGACACCAGGGGGAAGTCGAACTGGCAGCACTTGCTCTTGACTTAACGAGGGGGGCAAAGAGGGAGGCAGGAATCACGGGGACATCTGGGTCTCTGGACTGAGCCACTAGATGTGTGGTGGAGGCACTATTCACTTGTAAGTCAAATCTGGGGTTGAGGCAGAGTGGGAGGTGCTGGAAATTATGGGTCCAGTTTGGATGGGGCCGAGTGTGAGAAGCTGCCCCTCGTCCAAAGCTTCTGTTTCAGTGGTCCCCTCCAAGACTGGCTGCTGAGAATGTGGCTGGATCTAGGGAACTTTGTCACCATTACTTGTAAGTTCTGAAACTGTGACAACCCTAAGGCCCCTGAAGACACCTAGGCCAGAGGTTTGCATAGTGGGAACCCATAGGCTGCATACATTCACAAATATGCCACACAGTCTTAGAAAAAAATGTAAATTACTTGCCGACATTTAAAGTTTGGATGATTTCACATACAGACCCCCGTATCTGGTTTCTCTTGACACCTTTAGTCCCGTGTGGCACTCATCATTTGCGGCAGAGTCCGCCAGCCCTGTTTGGCGGCTAGCAGGGTACCTCCAAGTGGCCATAGGTCCCATCGAGAGGTTTTGCTCATTCTGTTACCTGCTGGTGTTGAGCACAAATGATGATGGAGTTGGTCTGGGTTTGTTCCTTGTTTCAACACCTTGACTTCATTTATTCATGCAACAAACATTTGAATGGCTACTTCGTAGCAGCTACCATCTGCCCAGATCTAGATTATTGTCTTTCGTGAGGAAAGGCATGCATTCTCGCCTTTATTCCTCACAACATTCCTTATGAAGTAGGTGTTCAGTTTACAGATGGAGAAACTCAGAGAGTCAAGACAGTTGCCCAGGATCACGCAGATAATGGGGACCAGAGGCAGGACGAGGATCCGGGTGTTCTGATGAAAGTGTTGGGCTTCATCTCCATTCTGGCTGCCTTTCCCAGGATCTCACTTGCAATTGTTAAAGAGAGAGGTTAAGATCTTCTTTATTCTTACAACAAATATTTATTCTTATAACAAATATTACAACACATAGTCCCTACTATGTGTTAGGCTGAGCTGTGTCCTAGATGTTTATTTGGCATAGATTAGATGCGGTCCTTTCTACAAAAGAGGATTATAGAGTCTGATATCGTTAGCCTGAGATTCTGTTTCCCAGTGGGCTTTGGGTAACCCACTGGCATGTCTGCACGGTGTCCCCAGGACTGGAGCAGTGCTTGGCATGTAACTGGGCTCACCACAGCACAATGTTAAAAGAATTCTGCTGTGTCTGGCTATGATTTCCTGGGGGAAGAAATCTTTTAGTCTTTTTCTTTTTTTTTTTTTTTTTTATTAAGACAGCGTTTGTTGCCCAGGCTGGTTTACAGTGGTGCAATCGTATTTCTCTGCAGCCTCGACCACCTGGGCTCAGGCAGCCCTCCCACCTCAGCCTCCTGAGTAGCTGGGGCTGCAGGCATGCACCACCATGTCTGGCTAATTTGTAAATTTTTTGTAGAGTCAGGATCTCACTATGTTGCCCAGGCTGCTCTCAGACTCTTGGTCCTCCACCTCAGTCCTCCCACCTCAGCCTTCTAAAGCACTGGGATCACAGGTCCAGCCTATCTTTTAGGATTGAGACCTGTTAAGCTGGCAAATAAAAGGTCACTTCCAAGCTGTTAGTGATGTTTACACCTTCCTGAGAAAGAGCTGCTTGGACTCTTGGGTTCAGGTAGGAGGTGTGGACATTAATTATTCACTCCTCCCCTTCTCTTCTATACCCTCCCCCCACCTAAAAAAAGTTGTAGGAGATTTTCTCTATGAAACTAGCAAACTGTACCAATGAATTTGTTTCCCACTTCTTATTAATTAAAGATTAATTGCCAATCAGAATGTCTGTTGACAAAGTTTGACCACTGAAGCTGATAGAATTCCAGCCCGAAACAAATCTAGAGTTAACCTGTATGACCTCCTCGCAGGTAAATGGACTACAAAGGTGAAACTTTTTTAAACAATGGAAATAGCTTGTGGGTGTTTTTGAAGTTCCCTATCGAGATGCTGTCCTGGTTTGGGACCATCTGGTCTAGAGGCTACAAAAGTGAGTTCCCAGCCTGAAGTTTGCTCTGAGCCAGCATTTAGGGTGCCTCAGTGGAGTCCAGCGGGAAGTTTCTGAAACCTAGGCCAGCTGTGGAGCTGGTATAGGAGTCTTTACCCTAAGAGCAAAGGATTTAGGCTCCTAGAGTGGTTCAGCTGGTCAAGTTTCATGAATAGATTCCATGATGTCAGGGCTCCTTCAGCGCTGACATCTGTGCTGTGTCCACCAGCCTGTCTCCTCCTGCTTTAGGTTTCAAGTCTTTGAGTCCATGGTTGTGGGATTGAAAAAAACAACAACTCATTTGTATCTTTTGATTTATCTAAAAGTTTCCACTTTTTGCATTGAGCTTAAGCCAGAAGACCTGAGTTCTCACCTCAATTTTACCAGATACTGGCTGTGTAATCTCAGAAAAGTGATTCCATTTTTTTGGGCCTCAGTTTCCATTACTCCAAAATGAGGGAGTTGGAGTAGCGCAGAGATTAATGGGTTTCATCTTACAGATCAGCTGTGATCCATTGGTAGTGGCCATCGCCAGAGCACCGTGCTGAGAATTCAGAGAGCTCTTCTAGGTTTATCAGGACAGAGGGGTGCGATCCATCAGCGGTGTTTGCCCTTGGCCCTGGTCGGGGGACAGCACATCAACCGTGGAAGGATAAGCTTGAAGATTTTCTTCCAGCCTCCTTGGATCATTGATTCTGCTGTAGTTGTTTGTGCATTTTAGATTGTGCAGGTGTTTGATCTTTTGCTGGACCAGGATCACACAAGAGTTGATAATAGCCTTGTGCATGTGTGTGGGTTTTTTTTTTTTTTTTTTGTACTGCAGGAAGATTGTTGATCGAATCGACAATGACGGAGATGGCTTTGTCACTACTGAGGAGCTGAAAACCTGGATCAAACGGGTGCAGAAAAGATACATCTTCGATAATGTCGCCAAAGTCTGGAAGGATTACGATAGGGACAAGGATGATAAAATCTCCTGGGAAGAATACAAACAAGCCACCTATGGTTACTACCTAGGTAGGAGGTGCTGCGGGAGCAATGACACAGCGGGTCCCGGTTCACAAGCCTTTTGTAGACTCTCTCTTCTCTCATCATATCCACTCCCTTCAGGGAGATATCACGGCCTCCTAAGTAGAACCAGCTTGTGTAACACCCTCCTCTGCAAACTCAAATGTACTGAGCCACTTACGCTGAGTGAAGATACAGGTGGGAGGGAAGGAGTGTGAGGGCTAATAAAAAAAAAAATACTGGCCAGGTGCGGTGGCCCACTCCTGTAATCCCAGCACTTTGGGAGGCCGAGGCGGGTCAATCACGAGGTCAGGAGATCGAGACCATCCTGGCTAACATGGTGAACCCCTGTCTCTACTACAAGTACAAAAAATTAGCTGGGGGTGGTGGCATGCGCCTGTAGTCGCAGCTACTCAGAAGGCTGAGGCAGGAGAATGGCTTGAAGGAGGCAGAGGTTGCAGTGAGCCGAGATTGCACCACTGCACTTCAGCCTGGGTGACAGAATGAGACTCCATCTCAAAAAAAAAAAAAAAAACACCTCCCTCAGATTGCAACCCCATCTCAACTTCACCTCCGATGCACACACAGAAAGCAGAAGGGAGATGTGTCTGTGGTACACTTTCAAAATGCTGCCTAATTCTGGATAGCAAGGATTGAGTAGGCCGGAACAGTCAGGGAAGGCTTCCTGGTGTGGGTGGTTTGGAAACGGGGGCCTTAGAGAATGGATTTATATTTGAAGAAGGTGGGTCAACTGGAGGGGGAAAGGTGCAGCAATGCATGCAGTCATAAGAAGGGTTTGGATCCAAGACGAACAAGATGGAGGGAATGAAGGAGAAGTGGGATACGGAGGCACTGCGCTCAGCCCTGCTGGGTGCAGGGTAAGGACAGCGAAGAAACGGGCCCGAGGGGAACCAAAGATGCACGCATGCGGCCAGAATCGGGGAGAGCTTGAAAGCCAGGCACGGTGTTGGGACAAGATGTGGGTACCAAGGAACCATGTTCTAGATCAAAGAATGAGATGATGAAAGCAGAGTTCTGCAAGGAGAAGTATGGTGGTAGTGTACTCTAAAGCCTGCGCTCTTAACCACATGCAGAATTCCCCTAATATGCCATGAGGCCTAGCATATTAGCGGAATTCTTGCACGTGGTTCACCCACAGGGTGACTTGAAGGGACTGATATTAGAGGCATTATGACATAAAATGTCTTCAAGAACTCAGTAGGTCGGGACCTTTTTTCCCTATGTGTACTATTTGAGCATGAAGGATGAGTGGTCTGGCAGGAGACGCCTCTCTTGGCAGCACAATTTAAAAACATTTCTGCATACATACATCCTGCAGGAAACCCCGCGGAGTTTCAGGATTCTTCAGATCATCACACCTTTAGAAAGATGCTGCCACGTGACGAGAGAAGATTCAAAGCTGCAGACCGCGATGGTGACCTGACCGCCACTCGGGAGGAGTTCACTGCCTTTCTGCATCCTGAGGAGTTTGAGCATATGAAGGAAATTGTGGTTTTGGTAAGATAAGTGAAGATCCTGGGCTGGGAAAAGACTGGGGGAGAGAACGTTTTTCAGCCTGAAGGGAATTGCAGAAGGACTCTGAAGCGGGGTGTGTTGGAATACCTATCTACCCAGTAAATTAGTCAAGGCAGGCCGGCTGCTGTAACAAATAGCCTCCATTTGTAGCCATTTAACACCATCAAAGCTTGTTCCAGCCAGATGGACCTCCTGGGCTGTTCTCTGAGCACTGTTGGGTGCCCAGTTCTCTAAGCACTCCTGCTTGTGCTCTGCCATCTTGTAGCTTCAAAGTCATCCTGCAACATCCAGCTGGCTGACAAAGGAAAAGAGAGGGAATGAGAAGATACTGTCTTTCTTTACTGTTCTGGCCGGGGAATGACATATCCCCTTCACTTATGTTCCACTGTTCCCTCCTAGATGTGAAGAGGCTGGGAAATCTAGTTTAGATATGTTCCTAGAAATGGCAAATGGGTTAAGTGAGCAGCTAGCTAGTCTCTGTCGCATTTTTCAGTTTTAAGGGAATTAGAAAAAGACTCAGAAATGGAATGCATGGGATTGTTAAAACTGTAAGGGAACATAAAGTAAAAATTATGGCTGGAAGGGCTGCTACCCTTTGGGCGTGGGTCTTTGGAGGGTGGGTGGATCAGACCCTGGGCTTTGAGGGATGACTATGCCTGTAAGGCCTCTGAATGTAGTTGCCTGCCGTGGTGTTTTGTTGGGTCCCAAATGTCTTCATTTTCCATGACAATTAAATAAACGCCATCACCTGTTTTCCTGGGCAGATGCACCAAGCCATCTCCAACTGTTTCAATCCTGGGAAACAGATGGCTAGAGCTTTTGTTTACATGAACTGTAGATGGTTTTAGTTTTCTAGGTGGTGGAAGGGTCCACTCGTGCTTCATCCTCATGATCGCCGTGGCTGTAAGAGCTGGGTGGTAGCTCCAAGAATCATTTCTCTTTACCACCCAGCATCCATGTAGTGACAGCTAATGCGGCAGAGGACAGTGCAGGTGAGGAATGAGCCGCAGTGACCTACAAGCCTTTGGGAGTGGCTCTCTGCTCTCAAGTTGGCTCTTTGTTTTGACCCAGGATGTCACTGAGTTGCTGTGCCAGTGGCCAGTAGACTCATTTAATTACTGACCCAATCAAAAAACCTAAATAAGAGGTCAAGTAGACAAAATATAGAGCATAATACATTAAAAAGTCAGATACACTTTTATTTTTTAGTTGTCCACTGTTTCACATTTCTCTGACACCAACATTCACAGTCCTGTTAGTGCTGGAGTCTATTCTTGTGTTCATCTAATCCAGTGGGTCTCACACTGGGTTTCTTGCATTTTTCCCATCGGGTGTTTTGGCTGAATGGTGGAGTTGGTTGGCCTGGCAGGGCCTCCTGATATCGGCAGAGCACCTCTGAGGTTACAGGTACATCTTGCTTTGAAGCAAGCCCTCTGCTCTTGAAATTGGGGTGGGGGATTAGGAACAGAAACTATTGCCTGTTTTTTTCAGAGAAGAAACTAGTTCCCAGGGAAGTAAGGAGATGAGCCAGAAGTCATCAAGCATTCAGCCGTAAAAGCTGGATAAAGGAGGGCAGTAGAATTCTCAGACTTCCTCAGAGCCCACGGCCATCTTGCATTCTGTTTTACCCTTTGCTTCCTAGGAAACCCTGGAGGACATCGACAAGAACGGGGATGGGTTTGTGGATCAGGATGAGTATATCGGTGAGTGCTGGCCTGGAGTCTTGCTCAGCTATCCCAGCGGGGCCACATACCTCCACCCACACGTCTGGCTTCTTTCCCCAGACATCTCTTTTAGCAACAGCTGCAAGTCTGTAAGTCACTCCTGTGAACTTCCAGCCTGCTTGTCACATCAGCCCTAGCGGTGTAGCGTCGGGGAAGTATTATTAGACCTCATTCAGTGGAGAAGAGATGAAAAAGCTGGCCCTACACTACACTGCCCAACAGTTATCTGAGAGCTGCCCTTTGTCACACTGCCTGGTTTTACCTTTGGAAAAGGGCATTGGAGGTCCCATAGACTTACAGTAAAGATAGAGGAATCCGTGTCAGGGCAAAGACTCTAAAACTGGACTGGGTTGATGGGGCCTAGAAGCTCTGAGTAGATACGGCTGTGACTAGCAGAACTGTTTATGTGTCTGAGCTCTGCAGAAAGGCCTTCTTCTTAAGAGAGATAAATGCTTTACAGAGTGTACAACTGCCCCATAATATGGTCATTTTGTGCCCCTCGTTTTCCATCCTTCACTCAGGAGTCCCATAGAGTTAAATTAATGTATTTGGGTCTGAACCCACCATTGCTGGTTAGAGCCCTTCCCGGTAGCCCCAAATCCCCCCCACCCCAAGCCTTGCCAGAAAGGGCTAGAGCAGGCAACAAGGACAGTTCTCTCTGATCCTCACCAGCCGCTGAGGCACGTGGTTCCAGCTGCAGGCCCCCTTCTCACGACAGCCCTTTTCCCAAATCTCAATAAAGTAAAAGCTGGGCAATCATTTGATTTAGGTGTTGACCTATGAAAAGAGGAATGAAATATATATACTTTTTGTACAGATTTTTAATCGAAGCCCCTATTACCTTTAAATGTAAAACCCAGAGCCCGAGTTGCCACCCATCTCTGGTTTTGTGGTTGCATTACTTTGCCACCCTAGACAGAGAACAAGGGCCTTCAGCAAAGAGGAGCAAAGTTTCCTCTAATCATTAGAAATTATATTTGATCCTGAAACGAACACTGTTCCTTGTGTGTCATTGGTAACAGGCAGGTAGCTCTCGCCACAGTAATTAAAATGATCTTGGTGGAACTCTCCCGATAGAATAATAGATGCTGACAGCTCCCTCATCAGAACAAGCAGCAGAGCCATCCTCTTGCTGGGTGCACATGCGAGGGTGAAGTTCAGAGGCGTGGACCTCTCACGGTGGCCGTGGGATGGAATGAGACTGACAGCAATGGCTGCATGATTAAGGCAAACAATGTAGTGCTTATGATTGAAAGTGTTTGCTCTGCCTAGCCCTCTAGAACTGTGCAGTGAAATGGTGCAAAGTCAGGGGCAGAACTCTGAGTGGCTTTGCCTAAAAGAAGCATCTCATTCTTTATACTGAATAACGAGAGGGAGCTGGAGGCGCTACGCTTGAAAATCAAATACCGAGTGATTCGCAGTCTGAGAAACCCAATATATTGACTTGTCATTTCACTTTTTGGGAAGGCTTCTCTTCAGGTGGCAACAGGTGGAAAGCAGGTGGTGGGAGGTATATCAGGAAGGGCACTGGAATTAGGAGCCCTACCTTCTCCACTGATGAGCTGTGTGACCCTGGGGTAATCATGTAATGGCTTTAAGCCTCAGCTTCCTCATCTGTAAAATGGGAAAAAAATTGAGCCCATCCTTGCAGGATTGGATGAAGCTCAAATTAGCTAATACGTATTACAGCTCTTTCCCAAAAACAATGTAGACATGTCGGTTAGGGGTCTACCTTGTAGTCAAGGCTCTCGTCTCTTTTTTCCCCTTCGCTCACTCCTTGCTCCCTTTACCATCTGATATTTCCAAGCTCTGCTTCCATTATAGAGAAACCCCCACAGGGTTTCTCTCTTTTCCAAGAAGAGCTAGTGACACACAAACAATACATAAACATTTCCTTTTTCTTTTCCTTACCATTTTGTACAAATGGGGGACAATGACCCACCTTGTAGAATTGTTCTAAGGATGAAATAAAATGACAGTGAAAGCCCCATGGAAATGACATAAACAATAGTAATACACACAGTGGTTAAGACTCTGTCTTGAAAGCAGAGTGCCCGTGTTCCCGTGTGGCCTCCGGCTCATATGAGCTGTGGGTCACTGGGTAAGCCTCATTGTTTTCGTGTGTAAAATGGGAATAATAACAGCACTCACTTGATAAGGTCGCTGTGTGAGAAACAAATGAAAAAATGTGCGTAGAGCACTTTATGCAGTATCTAGACCGTAGAGTTCCATGTTAGTCTTTATTATTAGTTTTCGCTTATGTAGTGCCAGTTTGGGTTGGAGAGGGCTTTAACATCGAAATGGCGCATTTGATCATAATAGCCCTGTGATTTATAAATTATCATCTCCATTTTACAGACAAGGAAATTTAAGGCTCAGTCATCAAACTAAGTCAACTAAGGGATTTATCTTTCGACTTCTAAACTCGGGTCTTTCTACTCTACCACGTGGCCTTCATCAAGGATAAATTATTGCATTATTATCCCTAGGAAACTGCCTACCAGCCGTTTGATAGGTCTCTTGATTGGTCATCGCCTTTCCTCAAAGCTCAGGAGGTCAAGTTTTTTTGGGGGGGTTTTACCTTCCCACTTTTCTTTGTAACCACCAGCAACCTTCCCTTCTAGCGGATATGTTTTCCCATGAGGAGAATGGCCCTGAACCAGACTGGGTTTTATCAGAACGGGAGCAGTTTAACGAATTCCGGGATCTGAACAAGGATGGGAAGCTGGACAAAGACGAGATTCGCCACTGGATCCTCCCTCAAGATTATGATCATGCACAGGCTGAGGCCAGGCATCTGGTGTATGAGTCAGACAAAAACAAGGTATTTCCCATTCTTCTGGGATCGCTGATGGAAGGGAGACAGTTTACCAAACATTGGTTTTGTTTGCTTTCTTGGCGATAGCATTGACCCATGTGGCCGTGTCTTTATTGACTTTTCCCTTCTTGTCCCACAGTGGAAACCTGTAAACTTGAGCTAATACCATGATAACACACAGTAAGCTTATTGGGCCTCAGCTTTCCTGGAAAGTCAGCTATGAGCCACAGACTTATATTAATCACATCTCCTAGGATTCCAGAACTTTGTGGGCAGGACACAGATTTAAGAAGTATGCCCCATGTTGCCCTAGGATGAGCTTATCCATTCATTGTCAGCAAATATTTATCAAACATCTGTGATGTGTCAGGAACAAGGAAGTCCCTCCAATTAAAGCCCAGACATCCTCAGGCAAGCTCAGGTTTCTGGCTTTTAATGCCTAGTATCTATTGATAAACATCCAAATAAACAAATCAGTAAATTTAGTAAATAAGTCCTGTCTATTCCCTACTTTGCTGATTGCCCCTACATTGTCAGACTATGCCAGTAGTCAGGTTAGGCAGTGAGGCCATAAGAAGGAAGTGGTATTCTTGAGGGCCAATTTTGGGAAGACCAACGCTGCTTGTGGTCACGAATGGAATCTAACTTCTGAATTACTTGGGAACTTCACTGACATATGTTAGCACAATTTTTCTAGCCAGAGGCTCTTCCGACTTGAAGTTTTGCAGTGCAGTCATGCTAGATGAAGGAGGTGCCCAGCAGCTTCTGAATTACTAAGTATCGTATTTTAAATGTTGCGTATCAATGAAATGACGTGAATATCATGCTGAACTAGTACAGTTATCAGAGCTTCCATGACAGAGCTCTTTCATCTCTTCTATAGGACGAGAAGCTAACTAAAGAGGAAATATTGGAGAACTGGAACATGTTTGTTGGAAGCCAAGCTACCAATTATGGCGAAGATCTCACAAAAAACCACGACGAGCTTTGATAGGCACTCAGCCCGAATATGGCAGACTGTCACAGGCATTCTGTTATTGTCTTGGATGGTTGCTACAACTGTCTAATTTCCAACAGTTGTGTTCCCACAAAAAGCAAGTTTATACCTCAGACTGGGGTATAAAAATTGTTTTTCACTCAGTATTTACTGGAAAATGGACATCACTATTCTTTCAGTAAGATTTCTCTCAAAAAACATGAAAACCTTGGAAAATTGCAGTTCTCTCTGGGGAGATATTGGTACAACATGACTTTTTTTTTTTTTTTTTTTTTTTTTGAGACGGAGTTTCGCTCTTGTTACCCAGGCTGGAGTGCAATGGCGCGATCTCGGCTCACCGCAACCTCCGCCTTCTGGGTTCAGGCAATTCTCCTGCCTCAGCCTCCTGAGTAGCTGGGATTACAGGCACGCGCCACCATGTCCAGCTAATTTTTTTTTGGTATTTTTAGTAGAGACGGGGTTTCACCATGTTGACCAGGATGGTCTCGCTCTCTTGACCTCGTGATCCACCCGCCTCGGCCTCCCAAAGTGCTGGGATTACAGGCTTGAGCCACCGCGCCCGGCCAACATAACTTTTAAAAAGTTTTTTTTTTTTTTTTCCCCACTAAAACTTAAAGGGGAACAAAACTTGAAAAAGCCCTGTTCTTCAGAAGTTGGGTGGGTTGGGGGAGACAGTAGTATGAAGAAACTTCTGTGTATTTTAACTACCAGATTTTTTTATATTTGCCACTGTTAAATAGTTGGAAAGGGGAAATTCTGATTAAGCAAAAGTGGTATCATCCTAGGTAAGTTTATTTCTGAATAGTCTTAGTATTTCGCATTCTTCCTTCTTGACTTTATACTCTGAGCTGTTATTGGAAAGTGGGTATAAAACCTTCCTGCATTTCTGGTATGGATCTGCTGATATGCACAATAAATCCATGTCTTTGTTTTTCTATTAAAAAGCAATCAAGAAAGATAATGTGAAAAAGAAAGGAATTTAAAGGTAGGGAAAAGATGAATATCAGACATTTGAAGAACTGTAGCAAAATGATAAACACTAAATATACTTGAGAGAACATTCTTGATAAGCCAGTAAGGTAGGCCTGTTCTTTGAAATAGTGAATAGGAATACAGTGCATTTCCTCAGTGGTCACTGATTAGAATGAGGTGGTGGGATCCTTGCGAAGCCAAACATAGCGGAGTTCTGGATTGTGTCCCATCCAGTCCAGTGAACCCATGACCCTCAGACCCGGCCCCCTAGAACAGGTTATGCCAAGGAATGAGGACAAGGTGAAATTCTGAGCCACGCACTGAACTGGCAGACACGACCTGTACAGATTGAAATTTCACCTTGTAAGGAGGAAGTGAATGAAATAAAGGATCCACCTAAAAATTTTCTACTGTGTCCTGTGGTGTTTGACTTCACAGATGCTATGTGTCACATTATTATTTATATAGCATAAAACAGTGAGGTTGGATCCCATGAGTATGATGATAAAGGTTCTGGGGTTTTTTTTCATCCAATTACTGGGATGTTCAGAATAGACTCATATTTACTAATTTAATATATGTATATACTTCATGCCCTTTCTTCTCTAGGTCATTTTAACTATAAAATCTTCCTGAAAATGTTTCCACTGGAAAATCTGGACTTCTTCCCTGGGCCTACGAGGCCCAGTAGGAGGAGGCCTGTGGGATCTGGCCCTACTAGCGTCGTCGTCATCTCCTACCATTCTCCCTTTCCCAGCCCCTGTATTCTGGCCCCACAGACTTGCTAGTCCTCAGACACACCGAGGTCATTCCCAGGTTGGGCCCTTCGCACTTGCTGCCCCTCACATTCAGACACGCATCTCTCACACCCTCAGATAATGCGCGAGACTTCCTCAGGGAGGCCTTCCAGACCCGACTATTTAAAGTAATCCCAACTTGAATCCATGTCTTACATCCCCATTTTATTTTCTTCTTGGTATGCATTACCATTTATATTCATTTCCATGCCTTCTGTCCAAGTCACCACAAAGTGGGGGATTTACAGTGACAGAAACTTAACTCACGTGGTTCTGGAGGCCAGGGTCTGAAGTCAAGATGTCAGCAGGGCTGCTCTGCCTCTGAAGGCCTCCTTGTTTCTTCCAGCTTCTGCAGACTCCTTGGAGTTCCTTTCCTTGTGGCTACATAACTCCACTGTGTCTTCTCTGCCTCTGTCTTCACAAGGCCTTTCTCTCTCTGTGTCTCTCCTTGGTGTGTCTCTTATAAGGACTCTTGTCATTTGATTTAGAGCCTACTTGGATTATCCAAGACGGTCTCATCTTGAGATCCTTCATTATATCATCCTTCTTTCCAAGTAAGATCACATTCACAGGTTCAGGGGGTCAGCAGGCGGATATATCTTTTGGTGGGGGCGCCATTCTGGCTGTGACACCACTTGACATATTGTTTGGACATCGCTATCTTTCCCAAGCTAGAATATAAACCAGGAGAGCAGCTGTCTCATTTTCTGATTTACTGCTGTTTCCTGGGACCTAGAACAGGAGAGTCTAGCAGCAATCAATTCTCAGGAATTATTTGCTGAACGATTGACAGGCTGATGGCTCTAATCAAAGGGCATATACCTCAGGGAAAAAGAATTAACCACATTGAGATACCATCTCATGCCAGTTAGAATGGCCATCACTAAAAAATCGGGAGACAACAGATACTGGAGAGGATGTAGAGAAACAGGAGTGCTTTTACAGTGTTGGTGGGAGTGTAAATTAGTGCAACCATTGTGGAAGACAGTGTGACGATTCCTCAAGGATCTAGAAATAGAAATACCATTTGATCCAGCAATGCCATTACTGAGTATATACCCAAAGGATTATAAATCATTCTATTATGAAGAGACATGCACATGTATGTTTATTGCGGCACTGCTCGCAATAGCAAAGACTTGGAACCAACCCAAATGCCCATCAATGCTAGACTGGATAAAGAAAATGTGGCGCATATACACCATGGAATACCATGCAGCCATAAAAGGATGAGTTCATGTCCTTTGTAAGGACATGGATGAAGCTGGAAACCATCGTTCTCAGCAAACTGACACAAGAACAGAAAACCACACACCACATGTTCTCACTCATAAGTGGGTATTGGACAACAAGAACGCATGGACACAGGGAGGTGAACATCATACACTGGGGCCTGTTGGGGGATGGGGGCCTAGGAGTGAGATAGCAAGTGGTGGGGGGGATTGGGGAAGGATAGCATTAGAAGAAATTCCTAATGTAGATGGTGGAGTGATGGATGCAGCAAACCACCATGGCAAGTGTATACCTGTGTAACAGATTTGCACATGTACCTTAGAAGTTAAAGTATAATAAACAAATTAAAAAAAAATTAAAATAGTTATCAATTGCTGAATGGGAAGTTGAACAATTTGCCCAAGATTCCATAATGATTAAATGGCAAGGCAAGACGTCAGCTCTGAGTGTTCCTGACCCCAGAGTTTTCTGTTCAGCTTTGAGTTGTGCTGCTCCAAATCTCAGAATTTCATATGTTTTTTTCTTTATTTCTTTGCTCACCCACAGTATATGATTATGTGGTAAGGAAATGAGAATAAATCCTCTTTACTAGAAATAAGCAGATAGCTTAAAAAAATTTTTTTTAAGGAATGAGAAGCTGTTTGAAGCTGTTTTTTTAAAAATGAGAAAATAATATGTGTAACCTAATTATAAGCACAACAATTTAAAAGGAGATAACATTATTTTTCACCTCCAAAAAGGATAATAGTTGATTTATTAAGTTATATGTAGTAAGACATTAAATATATTTGGAGCATTACATTTTTCTTTTCAAGTCAGTGCACATAAGAAGACTAACGCTGAAAGATACCAGCGCTTCTGGGGCTGAATTTAACACTATTTAAAGAAAGAAAACCTTAGCTAGGGGACATAACTGTTAACATGGTGATTTGTAAAACCTTAGATTTCTAATAAGGTCTGACTGTTTCAAGGAAAACATATTTTGTTTCTAGGTAACATTTCAAGTCTGATTATGAACAAATGCTACAAAATTGATCTGTAATGGGAAATACTGTAATGTCACAAAGCATTATTTAATGCTTAATGTGGCTGAAAGCATTAATTGCTAGGAGCCATAGTCTGTCCAAGCAAAACATGAACACACATTTTGCACCTCTTGTCTCCTACTGTAGGTTTTCAAAGGAATACAAGTGTCACAAAAATGTAGTTAGAAAATCTGCAATACCTGAAGGTTTTCTTCACCTGCTTGGATTATGGTAGTTGTTCCCTTGTTAACAAATGTATGAGTCGTATCTTCTCAGAAGTACCCAGCAAACATGTGCTATGTGGCTGCTTGTTAGCAGCTCAGCTAAAACGTCTCATGGAGTGAGGCGGTGAATGGCTGATGGGATTTTGTTTGTTTGTTTTTGTCCTTCTAGGTTTATTTCGTCACTTTCATAAAATCTTAGGTTTCTCCAAGAGCATGCAATTGAGATTTGGCTGTCTCTGTAGTATTAAAAGGAGTTTATAGCACTAGAATTTCCCACTGAAAAGGATGAGTGCTGTAATGTTCACCATTTTGGCTCACACGGAAGTATTAAAAGTCTGAGCACTGGCTGGAAAGCTTGTGTCATTAGTAAACTCATGAGATTTACACGAACTTGGGGCTATTTCCAAAGACGCCATCCCCATCCTCAATTCTGGTCAGTCTCAGGGTCTGCGGCTGGGGACACATACCCTAGATGTAATGTGTCCCACCATCCCATGTGCTTTTAGTACCTCTATCATTTTTCTTATATAAAATAGAAAATGGAGTCTGATTCTCCCACAGAAGCCCATCAGAGAAAATAGCTGTAAGGATTGGCTACCTTCTGCCTTGAAGCTGTTCGTGTAGTGAGTGCGCTTACTCATTTCATTGCTCCCACGATAAACACTAATAGCTCTGTACCAGGAACTATGCCAAGCACATTCATTCATACATTTCTTTCTCATGTAACCCTCACAGCAGCCCTCAAGATTGATACTTGTAGGAAGAGGAGAAGCCAGGCTATGTTGTGGTAACAGACAACCCTAACACCTCAGTGGTTTAAAACAACAGAGGGATAATCTTTGCTTTTTGCAAAGCCAGCTGTGGTCTGGCCAGCTGTCTGTGGTGGCTGTGGTGCGGGGGCTCAGCAGGGCATCTCCACAGGCACCCATATCCACTGGAGACCCCACACAGACAA